ATTCCGTAGTAGTCTCCTCCCTCCCTGTACTATACACGAAGTGACATTACACAACCAGGATGGGACCCATCAAACGTGAAGTAATGTCCAATTGGGTTTTCTCAGTTTAATCAATCCATCTCAAAGCAACAATACACAATTCTTCAAAGGTAAGACATTAGGAGACCTATATTTAATGTAATGCCCAACCACTATTTGATTTCATGCATGTTGAGCCCCCTCTCGCATCAGAAACTCATCCCTGACCATCAATGATTTATTTATAGAGGCACCAGCCATCCATGTCCAGGTGCTGTTTTAGCCAAACTCATCCCTATTACAATGATTAGTCAGATTAGTGCCACCTAAAATAAGTAGCCCAATTTCAAATAAAAGTATCCCCCCCCCCCCATTGTAAGGGAGGTTTTATAGTCAAGTATATTACAGTGAATGCCTTCATGCTCTAGCCAGAAAACTTGTAAGGGAGGTCGATCTATAGTCAAGTATATTATAGTGAATGCCTTCATGCTCTAGCCAGAAAACTTGTAAGGGAGGTCGATCTATAGTCAAGTATATTACAGTGAATGCCTTCATGCTCTAGCCAGAAAACTTGTAAGGGAGGTCAATCTATAGTCAAGTATATTATAGTGAATGTGTTCATGCTCTAGCCAGAAAACTTGTAAGGGAGGTCGATCTATAGTCAAGTATATTATAGTGAATGCCTTCATGCTCTAGCCAGAAAACTTGTAAGGGAGATCGATCTATAGTCAAGTATATTATAGTGAATGTGTTCATGCTCTAGCCAGAAAACTTGTAAGGGAGGTCGATCTATAGTCAAGTATATTATAGTGAATGCCTTCATGCTCTAGCCAGAAAACTTGTAAGGGAGATCGATCTATAGTCAAGTATATTATAGTGAATGTGTTCATGCTCTAGCTAGAAAACTTGTAAGGGAGGTCGATCAATAGTCAAGTATATTATAGTGAATGTGTTCATGCTCTAACTAGGAAACTTGTTCACGTTATTACAAGACTTTTGGTGTGGAAACCAAATTTGTCAAATGACAAGATTTCAGTTGCAGGAACCCGGGATTTCAAGCAAAAGAAGTCTAAGAAACTATGTGAAAGAGAAAATATACAAAGGATACAATAGAAATGTCTGCTTGCTAATACAAATAATGAATTTCACTTTTAGGATGCAGTTGATAAATTGTGGGACACATGCCAATAAATAGCAGCTCGAGAGAATATTGCTTTGTCTTACATGAATCTATGTTTGACTAAAATGCAGCTTAAGATAGTTCGTTCACAAACAATTCATAAGCTGTAAAAGATAAATATCTTGACTACACACAATAAATAATTTGTTTCTTCAGCATTTTGTCTGATTGAGTTTCTTTGGCATCTCTCCGATTTCTCAACGCAGTAATCACAACGGACAATTTTTCTCTCCCGCGTCTCCTTTCGACCCTCACTAACATTCTCTACAGACTATCAGTTCCACGACTTCCTGCTTCTTTGTTGTTCGCAGTTGTTGGAGAAACTTCTTTGTTTGTTCGTAGTTGTTGGAGAAACTTCTTTGTTTGTTCGTAGTTGTTGGAGAAACTTCTTTGTTCGTAGTTGTTGGAGAAACTTCTTTGTTGTTCGCAGTTGTTGGAGAAACTTCTTTGTTTGTTCGCAGTTGTTGGAGAACAGAGAAACACACCAACAGGACAAAGTCAGCTTCTCGCTGCACGGAAACCAAGAGAAACATACAGGACCAGGGATGTTTGCCAACATTCTTTGAAACCAAAGACAGACACGGAGCATGAGTCTGTCCATGTCAAAAGTTTGGCCATTCAAAAAGAACGTTGATTTCCTGCAATTTCAAACATCTTTGGAAAAAATGTCACAAGAGCTCGACTTCCAAAACATACGTCAAAACGATTCGAAAAAGACATCTATACACCGATGGTTAATACTAATAATACGCTGAATTATCTACATAAGCATTTTAAAAAAATTTTTTTAAATATATATATATAAAATGTGACACAAAGACTGAAGTGAATGGGACTCGTTCATGAGGCTGAAAGGAAGCCAAAATTCATTTCCCATATTTATAAGCAGTGTTGTGTTTCATTTCTGAGTAGAACTGTCCTGAATTCAATACACCTACACATTTATCCAAACAGAGCAACAGTAAACACAACACAAGAAAATAGAGAGAATATACAACTTCTAGTAGATTTGGTGAATTGGGAAAGTTTTTGCCACCATCAACACTATTATACCTCACACGGTTTTTGTAGAAGGATTTACGGTGGGGCCATTTTCTGCCATCCCAAAAAGAGCAACATAGATTATCTGATGTTGTTGTTGTTATCGATCCAGTAGATTATCTGATGTTGTTGTTGTTATTGATCCAGTAGATTATCTGATGTTGTTGTTGTTATTGATCCAGTAGATTATCTGATGTTGTTGTTGTTATCGATCCAGTAGATTATCTGATGTTGTTGTTGTTATCGATCCAGTAGATTATCTGATGTTGTTGTTCTTATTGATCCAGTAGATTATCTGATAAAATGTACGTTTCTTGTTGGTTGTATTGGTCTGTTACACTCGTCTTGCCCATATCCTTCTTGTGTCTAGCTCGATGACGTATTTATAAAGTATACAGTGGAAACCTGATAGAACAGGGATGGTGGGAGTAGAGAAAATGTCCTGTTATATCCGATCCCTGTTAAATCAGAAATGCAAAGAAAGTGAGCATTTGTGGACTAATCCAGCTGTACTTATTCATAGGTAGTTTCCCTTGCCACAAGTACCCACGAACAGGGGTTTTGGCACTAACTTTCTCCTTGCCTCCTTAAACCACATCAGAAGAGCTTGGTCCACAGCAACTGCATCGGGTAGTCTCATCTTCTTTCGATCCAGAGCAAACTTTCCATTGGAGTATGCTGCCACTATCTTCGCTCTATCCTTGATAATGGTGAGAATCGACCCTTGTGGAATGTCGAACTGACGACCAATCTCTGCCAGTGCCAGTGGAGTTGGAGCTCGCTTTTTGTCAACAGCCTGGATTATTTCATTGTTGTTTCTTGGTCAATTAGAAGGCAGTTTCTCTTGCGCTTGATATCGTTGGTGACAGTAGATACATTACGCGTGCGTGTTGCTAGGTTTCGGGCTGGATCGACGTCTGCAGCACACTGTAGCCTTCTTTCGCTTCACACGCTGCGTGTGCTTGCCTTGCAGTGGCGTGGCTTGCATGGGCTTGCTCCATTTCTGCGTTACTCTCTCTCTCTCTTACTTTTTACACATTGTTAACGGACTATGTCCCTGCTATAACCAGTTGGGCTCCGATGAGGCCCTGTTATTGCCGATAACTTTTAATAGAGACAAAGAGTAGAAAAAATCAGGGATTTCAAAAATCCCTGTTATTACCGGATCTCTGTTATTACCGGGCCTGTTATATATGGTTTCCACTGTATTTAAAAAAAGCAGTTTTCGAAGAGGTAACGCTACATAAATGCCTGATCTCAAGAATAAGTGTCAGGAGTTTTTCGTGTTTTACTCAAAATCATGAAAAATGTGCAGTTACGTCGCTCTCTATTTCATGACAGCAGTACGTACTATGGATACTGAGCGGAAAAAGCACTGTAAGTCATTTAAAAAGTAAAATCCTACTTTGCAATAATGTAGCTAACCACAAGCACTGAACACTCTTGCTTCTTTTGAGTTAAAAAACCCAAAAATATGATTAAAATCTCTACACGATTAGGTGAAAAATGGATTCAGAGCTTGCAAGCAGAAATAGCAATATATATTTCTTAGTCTTGAAATATATATATTTGAAATGAGCTTTCTCCATACCTCACCCTACTACCAAAGACAAGGAAATATAATACCTTTCACAACTGGCTGCGCAAAGACCAAGTTACAGCGCAATTAAGAAACTTAAGAAACAGAAATAAGAATGAAACTGTCTTCCAATATTCCAAAGAGAAAATTAAATAGCAGGACCTGTAAAATGGTGAAACGTCTCAGCATTTGATTGAGCCTGTGTGCTCCAATAGACACATGTTCTTCAAAGACAGAGTAGCGTAGTGCAAGTACTGAGGGGACCACAACATGTGAAACAGAAAAATATCGGAAATCTGAGTATCATTGACTATCATTGCTGTTTGACCAGCCACTCGAGGAAATGTCAAAATGAGGATCTCAACGGAACAAATCAGGAACTGGGGAAAAACATCAGGAGAAATAACAAATCAATTCGGGGTGACCGCCAGGCTGACTTAAAGATTGTCCAGGGGTGTTGAGAAATATTAGAAGTAGAAGGCAGAGCAAAGTTTCAGAAAAACCCTGCTCAAAAGACGGAACAACAAAAAATACGGGACACATGCAAACAAAATGGGGACACTTGCAAACAAAATTGGGACACATGCAAACAAAATATGGGACACATGCAAACAAAATGGGGACACTTGACATTTGTGGCAAACAAATTTAGGATATTCTGTTTAAATCGGGATGAGTGGCAGGTTAGCCTTAGTGCAGGCATTGGCAAACTACGGCCAGCGGGCCAGGTTCGGTCCTCAAGCAAGTTCAGTCCAGCCTGCGAGCCGACCCATTAACTACTAATGAATGTGGCCTGCGGAGAGTGGATTATTAATTACAAATAAAACTGTCTGTCTTCAAAGTCAAAATTAGTGATTCTCGGCAAAGCTGGAAGAATAGAACTAATATCTTATCTGACGAAATGCCCTTGAGTGATAAATATACAATAATATATATGCCATAGTGCCAGTTTTTGTTTAATTTTGAGCCTCCCTTGTGAGAGCATGGGAACTACAACCAGTTTTACCCTATTTTCGAGTGCTTTGGCTTGCCAGATGTTGGGAATCGCTCAAACAGGCCGGCGACTTGGACACGTTTGCCCATGCCTGCATGCTGTAGGCTAGTGAGACATACTATCACAAGTCTACCGTCCAAAGGAATTCACTTGAAGAACAATGAAAAAGTAGGAAATACATGTATACATTTTTTCTCTCTCTCTCTCAATAACCAAACATACCCACACAAACCATTCGACGCTCCCACAAATCACAAACTCTGAGTAGGGTGCACACATCCAGTCAAAATGAAGTAAAAAAACAAAACAAAACCAAAACCCACTCGCTCTTTCAACTTCACACCTTTCATTCCTTTCTCTTCTGAGCTGTGATTAACTTCACAGAAACTACTCGAACCAAGAAATGCAGCAGAAGAAAGCAGGTAAGACAGGAAATTCCTGGTGGCCTCTGTCCAGGAGACTTCAAATCAAGACATCCAGTCCTCACAGGCAGATGGATCTACTTTCAGTGACGACCTTCATTGGGACTTAAGTCTGCACGGATCCAGGTCAGTTGGTGATTAGCTGTCTTGCTGGGTGCTCCTGGAGATATAACAAAACCAGCAAAACAAGTTGACAAAACTGCCTCTATATGATTGTTTGTTTGTTTGAGTCAAGAGAAGCACATTGACAAAATAATGGTCAAGTAGTACTGGGGACAAAGTAAGACAGACAGATAGAAACAACAGATGGAAAGTAAAGAAGTAGGACCTACCAGTGGCGCCCTCCAACCACCCACTCTCTGAATGATCATGAGTATAAAATTTTCTGCCATTTCCATTCAAATTTCATTCATTCAACTGATTCTTCTGTCCCATCTTCAAACGTTTTCATACAATTGACTTTGACATGCACTTGACCTTACATGACAACACCACCAACAACTGACTCACATCTTTATACATTCTAAGGCTGGTGTGCCATCTGTCAAGATATCAAATTCCCACAGCAATTCAATTCAGCCTGCATTATCTCTTCTCATGGATTACATTTCAAGCATTGTATTCAAATATTTATGTAAAATGCCGTGAGCTGTGCGTACATGGGGGAAGGCACAATAAACAATGATCTATATTCTATTATCAATGTTATTATAATGCAATTTGTTCATTTGAATAAAGAGAAGCACATCATGTAGACACAATAAAATAATAATGATCATATATACATTGAAAGGAAAGATCAAGACAGAACATAAAAAACCCAAAACAACAACCAGCACGGATCATGAAGTAAGAATCAACAGTGCCCCCCTCCTTTTTCAACCAGCACGGATCATGAAGTAAGAATCAACAGTGCCCCCCTCCTTTTTCAACCAGCACGGATCATGAAGTAAGAATCAACAGTGCCCCCCTCCTTTTTCAACCAGCACGGTTCATGAAGTAAGAATCAATAGTGCCCCCCCTCCTTTTTCAACCAGCACAATTAATGAAGTAAGAATCAACAGTGACCCCCCTCCTTTTTCAACCAGCACGGTTCATGAAGTAGAAATCAACAGTGCCCCCCCTCCTTTTTCAACCAGCACGGTTCATGAAGTAAGAATCAACAGTGCCCCCCCTCCTTTTTCAACCAGCACGGTTCATGAAGTAAGAATCAACAGTGACCCCCCTCCTTTTTCAACCAGCACGGTTCATGTAAGAATCAACAGTGACCCCCCTCCTTTTTCAACAATTTTTTTGCTTGAATGAAGAGAAGCAAATCAACGTAAGTATTGTCACAAATTGTGTATTGATGAAGCAAATCAACGTAAGTATTGTCACAAATTGTGTATTGATGAAGCAAATCAACGCAAGTATTGTCACAAATTGTGTATTGATGAAGCAAAAACAACAACCAAACCCCAGACAGAAGAATAGAGGGAAAGAAAGGAACACCCTCCAACCACTCACAGTACTACACAGACACAATCCATGCAAACAAGTTACATTTTATGCTATATAAATCAACTATACAAACAAGTTACATTTTATGCTATATAAATCAACTATACAAATACAAACAAGTTACATTTTATGCTATATAAATCAACTATACAAACAAGTTACATTTTATGCTATATAAATCAACTATACAAACAAGTTACATTTTATGCTATATAAATCAACTATACAAACAAGTTACATTTTATGCTATATAAATCAACTATACAAACAAGTTACATTTTATGCTATATAAATCAACTATACAAACAAGTTACATTTTATGCTATATAAATCAACTATACAAACAAGTTACATTTTATGCTATATAAATCAACTATACAAACAAGTTACATTTTATGCTATGTAAATCAACTATACAAACAAGTTACATTTTATGCTATATAAATCAACTATACAAACAAGTTACATTTTATGCTATATAAATCAACTAGAATCTATTTAGTGGCAATGCTCAAACAATATTTTCAAGACACTATCAACTCTCTTTTTAGTTTTAGTAAGTGTTTAGAGGCACTTGCAACACAATAAGGTCATATAAGTGCCGAAGATTAAGAGGTGTTACAAGAGAGAGGAGGAGAGATAAAGATGATAGATGTTTGATAGGAAAGAAGAAGCAAACCACAGCACAGCACTAGCCAACGACACACCATAAACTCTACAGCATCAAGGAACGCAGCAGAAGAACAAAATAACTTACATGCTGAACTTCCTGGTCAAATGGTTCCTCATCACATTTTGAGCTACGAATTCGACTGTACATATCGGAGATTGTTCTCAATCATTTGAAACATTTCACTGGGAGATGGAATGCGGCCCGTTTCTAACTTTGACCAAATTGGAACATCTGAAAAAGGAGTGAATAAAATTCAGGTGAAATTTTGTCATGAAAAGTACTTATTCGTAAAATTGAATTTCATAATTGAACAGCAGCTTTTATTCTAAAAAATAAATAAATTTAAAAAGGGAGAAAAGAAAATTGTAAAAAATACTTAAGAATGAAGTAGACTTTTTCTAAATCCCTGTCACGTCCTGACACTGAAAAGATTTTATATATTCTGACCTATGTATATTTAGTTCTACAAAGAAATTCTTGAAACCAAACTTAAAATAGTTGTAAGTAATATCCATTCAATAGAGAATAGTGCTGCAATGTGAGAAGATGGGAGAGTTCATAAAAGTCAGAAATGGAAGTTTTCAACATACACAGTATATATACAGTGTAAACCATTGAGACATTTTTGAACTCTTTGAGCCCCATGGGACGCTCGGAGCGTCCAGTGCTAGAGACAACTGTTTCAGGAAGTGCTAGTTTTTGCTTGGTTTTCCCAACTGTTCCTGAACCAAGGTTTTTTTAGGAATGACTAAGCCTTTGTTTCCTCCATTTAGAAATTGGGAGGCAAGCTTTTGGGGCTATAATGAGAAAATAGTGCACCAGGTTCAGGAGACGGTGGAAAAAATACTGGGAAACAGTGGAAAAAACTCAGGACTTAAAGAGTTAAATAAACTTACGTCGATTCAAAAAGTCTTCAAATACAACTGTGCTCCTTATATTTTTCTGAATTTCCTATTTCTGTGATTTCTTTAGTTTAAGTAAGAGTTTTGCGACACTTGCAACATAATAAGGTCATGTAAAGGCTGAAGATTAGAGCTGTCACGCTAGAACAACAAACTCAAAATAGCAGGAGGAGAGATCAGGATGACAGATGTTTGAAGGGAAAGTTTTTGTTTTGGGGGAGTGTTTTACGGCGTTCGCGACTGCATACAGTCAAATATGAAAGAAGGGGCAAACCACACTAGAATACCTGCCAACAATCCGCTTTTCCATGACTGACATTGACAAACTTCCATTTATCCCATACATTTAATGCGATCACAGTAACAGTGTCTTAAGAAAGACATACACAAGGGCAAAACTGATGCTTCATGCTGCCAAAAGAAACACTAATCCAAGGAATATTACAGGAGCAGACGTGTGTCAAATTTCTCATTGCTAAACAAGCAAAGTTAAAAACAACCCCCCCCCCTAACTTATTTGCTACAGCTTTTTTTCCCTGCTGTCCTCGTATACTAAACTACCAATGATAACTGTACATATATTGTTAGGATAAAGGAAACGCTTGACGAAGAAGGGAAAACGTAACTCACCATTGAATGATATTTCGAAAGCACCAGTAGAAATCAACTGCCCTTCAATGGCATTTGAGATGAAAAACAACATGAGGCAGGCGTAGAGCTGTGACCAAAGATCAGAAAAGAGAATGACATTTGTTTACTTTTACAAGGCAAACAGGAGTAGGCATATATAGCAAACCACTGCGTCACAATACACATAACAAAGCCAAATGCTTAAAAGACCAATTTTAAAGAAAAATCAGTACAAATGGGAAAATCTATTACGTCCACGGCCCTTTTCCTCTTTTCTATCACAGGGCCACAAACGTCTCCTCTCTCCCATTACAGGATCTTAAATTGTTCCTCTTCTCAACTCAACTCTTGTTTCACAACACGAACAGAGCTGTGCATGGATTCAGGGCTGGAAAAGTTACTGACTTTCCATCAATGCAAATAAAACTTGTGAAAGAAAACAAATAGCTGAGAGCCATGAATTACCTACAACAGCCTTCTATTTCAATTCTATCATTTCTGTGTAGATAAAATGATGAGGCTTGGCTTTCGAGTTTCAGTCATTATGCCTAAAAATTCATTACAATTATTACAACAACTTCTGTGGCAGAATCAGCAGGACAAAATTTTAAAAAACCCTACAGAATTAAGAGAATTAAAACTTAACAGCAATGACATCGTTTTCATAATAACTTCGGACCAATAGCAGTAACAGGGATGAATACGACTTACCGAGTCTAAATTACAAAAAGGAATAACTAACCATAATAAAGATTACTGGCAACAGTACTGTTAAGTTGATATTGATAAAATCAAAAATCAAATGAACAACCACAATTAAAATTTTGCAGATTTTGGACAAATATTATAATAAAACCTTGTCTTCTGTTGCCCAAGTAAAAATAGCTGGTGTCTGTAGGTTAATTATAGATGCTAGATTTCCCATTCAACAACACTTAACAATAAACCAACAGTCAAGCAAACATATGAAGTTATGAGTCCACAAGCTTTCAAAACTGGCACCCTCACTATTTCTAATTTGTGACTGTGGTCGTTTTCCCCATGTGCTCCTCAAATGATATGATACCTTGTTTTCTGTTGCCCAAGTATAAATACTTGGTGTCTGTAGGTTGAGGGAGGGGAATGGATTGTATCCTGTCACAACGAGGCCAATGAGGATAAACTTGATGATTCCGAGAGCCTGAGCGAGGCTCGACCGGACCACTGGAGGCGGGTAATGGTCGCCAACAATCGTCAGTGCCGGGAACCTCTCGTGAAGTGCTTGAGCGTACTGCTCAAACACCTTCCGGTACCCTCAGGTGTAGCTGGCAGAAGAGAAAGGAATGGTGTCACAGACACCTCTAGTGGAAACTGCCTGAATGATCGTCCCACTCAAAATTTGCTGGACAGATGAAAGTCTTTTTCGCTGTTTCTCATTCCGATTTATAGGGCCAAAAAAATCAGAGACATAACCATTTTCATGTTCCCTCCTGCACACAGATGTACTGCTTTGAGGGTCAAACTGCAATAATTTTTGCTGCAGATCACAATATGGCCACTAAAACTGTCGCAAATCAATTATTTTCAAGAAAATGTCAAAATTATTTGAAATTGCAAACCATCAAATTACAGAAGAAAACCCCTCAGATTTTTCTGTTTCCCTGAGTCCCCTGAAATCCCACAATGCAGGGCTGCCTAGCAGCCTACTTCAAATTTTCTGTTTCACGTACATTCAAGGTCAGTTTCGGGTATTTTGACCCTAAATCAGGTAGTAGAAAAAGCAAAGAAGGGAAAAAAAGATCAAATCGTTGCCCCAGCACACATAGGGGGGCCTACTTACCATTGAGCGGTTTGATTGATTGGGTAGATGTTTTACGGCACTATCGACACAATTTTGGTCATTTAAGCGTCATCAGGTTTCACCGCTACAAAATCAGACGTGTTTTTAATAAAGTCTTTCGGAGCTCTCAACCGCAAACGATCACACTATTTCTATTATGCTAAAAAGACGAACAAACATTTATAAAAATTTTTTGTAAATATGGAAAAGGCTTATTTACATTTGTATATACAATACAAATCTCAGTGTATGTATATATACACCGACAACGACAACTATATATTTTCACATTTTATTAAACAGTCCAATTTCTTTTATAAAACTTTAAATTCTTCTAGGTTCTATGATGTTAAAAAGGGTCTTAATATTTTTACATTTAAAATATTTATCACGGACATAATTAAAGTCGACACATTCCATTAGGATGTGCCGAACTGTGAAATTTGTGTTGCACGCCACGCAAAAAGGAGCTTCCTCTCCTTCGAGCAAATGTTTGTGCGTGACGTGCGTGTGTCCTATTTTAAGTCGGGTAAAAATTACTTTTTCTCTTCGTGGTAGAGAAAATGGTTTCCTGGGTGTAAGTTTCGGTTGAATGTAATGGAGTTTGTTGTGTATTTGTTGATTCCAACTTTGGGACCAGGAGGATGTGATGTGTTCTTTTACTTTCGGTTTCATGTCAGAGAAAGGGATTTTACTATTTTTGTTTTCAGGTAGTTTTAGAGATTCTTTGGCAAATTGGTCAACGGCTTCGTTGCCATCAATGCCTACATGGCTTGGAAGCCAAGCTATTGTAATAGTTTTTCCAGACTGATGTAGAAAATGCAGTTTAATGATAAGTTTCAAAATTCTGTTGTCGGAGGTGTCAGAGCACTCTAAAGATTTCAGACAAGAGAGAGAGTCTGAAAGGATTAGGAAGGTAGACTTGGTTGATTGATCTATAATATTTAGGGCCATTTCAAGAGCTGTAGCCTCAGCAGTGTAGACTGAGGCTTCTGGATGGAGTTTCCTTAAGCTTAAGCTGTGTGGCGATGCAAGGGCAGCAGCTCCTACTGCGGAGTCATTTTTGGATCCGTCTGTAAAGAGTTTCTCTGCTTCAGGGTATCTATTTATCAGCTGTTTATATGAGTTTAAGTATGTAGTTTTGTCTGTGGACTTTTTGTTGTGTTTTTTTAGTGATTGTCCTGATTGTCAGCATTCACAGCCATATAGAAGGGTTGACCAAACATAGCATTTCAGGACTTTCATTTTGGTGTTCATAGATATGTTTCTATTTTTCAGGATTGGGCTCATTTTATTGAAACTAGCCTTAGCCATTGCCGTTCTCCATTGCAGCTCCTACTAATCGGACATAAAATCAACTTACACCATTGTAACGAGGAAAAGCTGAACTTTTACAAGGTGTACGGCACTTGGTGTTTTATAGCGAAAGAGCAAAGAAACAGCGATCGGAATTACCCCGATGCCACGCGGTCGGAAGGCCGCAAGTGCTCGCGAGGCCGTGTTTACGCTACCTAATAAAAGAGCCTTTCATACAAAAAAATAATAACAGCAGGATTGGAATCTGCAGGAAAAAATACAAAAGATAGCAAAGTTTCGGAGATATATTTTTAAAAATAAGAAAGTTGCAGGAGTTTGAATGTTTGCCACAAGTCCTTGGCCTAAAATTTCTATGAATTTTTTGACACATTTCCCCTGATATTTTAAAAACTACTGCAGATACATCAAATATCTTTATAGATATCTATATATAGATAGGTTCTGCAGGAAAAACTACAATAGGCTGCCAAGTTTCATTTATAGTATTCCGTTTACTACGGAATTATTGATAAAAAATGCCTCAAAACACCCAAAAATGTGGACCGTGTTTTGGGGATTTTTTCCTTCGAAGTGACTATTCGGACTTGAGTCCGAATATGAAAAAATATTATTCGGACTCTGATTCTTGTCCAGCATGACATCACTTCCGACTTCCTGTGACTCGTGACTCCGGCTTCC